CTAATACACACACGCACACACACACACACACACATGCAGAGTAGTAAATGCTTGTCATTACTTAGAGCACCATGCTGCATTTGTAACAGCCTATAGTGTATAATGAGGTCTCTAATGCATTCAGCCACCGATGGAAAGTCCATTTCACATCCAGCCTGGTGCCGGCTCGGCTATCTGACTGCAACATGATACGCAGGCAGGGCCGATTATTACACTGCTGCTTACTCTGTAGATTAATGATTAAAGATGTTTTTCTCTCACACAGCATTCAGCAGTTTCTCCTTTTCTCTTTGGCTGTGCAACTAGAACACACACATCCCTCCAAATTAAACCTAATCTTCATTTGAACAATAAGAATATATGAGAAAGACTAGTTGTTCAGTTTCAGCAATTTAATAGATACAAGATTTTCCCGGTACACTAGATGAAAAACCCTGCATATAACAGTACTTTAGATCCTGTGAAATCCAGTCTCCGAATGTCAAAGACCATTTCCTGTGTTGGAGTGAAAGGCTTTTTGTCTGCCTGTTAGGACGAAGAGCAGGCACTGTGACCTAGGAATTTGCAGAACATCACATGTAGAAATGTAGACACAAATGGTGTGTGGCTACAGGGCTCTCGAAATCTCATGAATGGGACGCAAACATGACATTTGTTTTGAAAAAAAAAAAACATGTCAGAATTAATGCAAGAGGAAATGGTCTTATATTGTGATTGGTACAACAGGCCCCAGATTAACTGTGTTACAGTACTTCCGTAGAATCACCATAAACTTCTGAAGCCATAATTAAATTCGGTTAAATGATTTCTGCCCATTGGTGAAGCCCTTTTGAGAGGAAAACCATAACGTTAGCCCCTTTAGGCCTAAAGATGGCAATGTCAGCGATACCTCTCTGTGAGTGGTGGAAAGAGTACTGAAATCTGTATTGAAGTAGAAGTACTGTTTTATTACTGAAATCTTACTACAAGTAAAATCTTTGTATTTTCAATGGAAATGGGAGATTCAGAAAATATCTACTTTTAACAAAGCCAACTTCTCTGATAAATGATAAAAGGAAGGAATGGATCAAACTAAGGAAATGTATTTTCTGAACAAATATTCAGATAAATACTAAAATGTTTTGGAACCTGCATTGATCAAATGTAATTAGTATACATTTCTCCCAATCCACTACAAACAAACAGCAAAGCAAGGCTTACTTATAGCAAATATGTTAGACATGTAGGATAATATCACTCCATGATTATGTATTTTGTTTCATGGACATAAGGAAGAAACATTTATATTGAATGTATTTTTGATCTGTTTACTACCAAATGTTCATATTGAATTTATCTGTAAAAATAAATGTCAACAAACTATGTTTTCCCCTCCCTATTCATTACAACATATATGACTTTTTTGAACATATATGAACTCAAAGCTAAGTTAAGGTTAAGAAACAACTAATGAACCCACTCCAACTTCCTTCCTACAT